TGCTGCTCACCGACGGGGTGTCCTTCGAGCGGTCGGTCGCCGAGTTCTACTTCACGCCGAGCGACACCACGGTGCAGTTCCGCATCGGGAGCTTCTCGTCCGGGGCTCCGAGCGGGAAAACCCTCCTGAGGGGATCCTCCCTCCGGAACATCGAGCGGGCCGAGATGATCCGAAAGGAGCTCCGCTACCTAAAGCTCCCCGTGCTGCGGAACCGGAAGCGGTCCCTGTTCTTTGTCGAGTCGGATCTGGATTCCTTCGGCCCGGGATCGGCGTCGCTGGGGCCACCGGCCGAGATGAAGGAGGGGGAAATCACCGGCCGATTGAGCGACGACGTCGATCCCAGGCTCAAGATCGATGCCGTCCAGCAATTTCCGTTTACTAGCAACCGATAGCAACCAGGGCAAAAAAAATCCCGCGAACCAAAAACCACTAGGTCTTGTTCTGTTTAAACAATATTCTACTGTATGTATCTCTCTATGTGTGACCCAGACGCCTCGTTGGTTCTCGTGCGTAGACGACCACGTCGTCCCCTGCCCTCTCGATTCATGGGACGAGTCTGGTCCATKTRCGAACGCGAATGCCCGCATCCATCGATCCCTCCGTCAGTCGATCCGTTCGCACAGCTGCGTGCACAGGACCGTCTTTTCGCAGCGGATCCTTGCGCCGCCCGGATCGCCGGGAAATCCTTCCCCGTCCTGGGTGTTCTCGTTGAGACACGCGATCGAGGACGGSGGGAGATCGACGAACGCTGGGTGCCGGCACGGCAGGACGACGGCGTTGTAGATCCTCAGCCGGCGGTGCGGCTCCAGCCCGACGCTGCGGGCCGTGGCGAGGGAAAAGTCCAACCACGCCAAAAAGGCCGCCTCCCCGGAAGCCTGGCGGCCCGGCCCGTGGCGGTGGACGCAGCCGAGAACGGTGACTTTTGCGTCCTCCGGAAGGTCCCCGTCGTCGTCRTCGTYGTTGTTGWTGWTGTTGTTGTTGTTGTCGCCAAAGCCGCCCAGCACCGTGGCGTCCGTCACCGTCCCGGCGTTCTTCCGGGGGTCCCGGGCCGGGAGGAAGGCGGGCCTCCCGACGGGGGGGTTGCGGAGCCGCGCGAGGTCGGCCTCCCGGGCGCGGCGGAGGGCCGCCAGGGCCCGGACCCATCCCCCGCTGCTGCGCCGGCGGCCGGGAGCGACCGGCGAGGCGTTCGAGGGATTCCCGGCACCGGCGGCAACAACCTTTCTTCCCTTCCCCGGGGCGTCCGAGTCGGAGTCGTCGCCGATGGCGTCCTCCGCGAGCACCCTGTTCTTGGTGCGAGCAAAGGACGGAGCAAAGCTGAAGGAGGACGGCTTGGTCGGTGTCTTGTCCGTCGAGCCGGAGCCGTGCGCCGCCGGGAGGTCCTCCGGTGTCCGCGATCTGGTCGGCGCGTCGGTGCCGCCTTTCGTGCTTCGGCGGTTCTTGGAGAGCCCGCGGAACGGGGCTCTCGTCCGTGTTGCCGCTGCCAGTGCCGATGCGGTAGCGAGCTGCTGCGTGCTTCCGGTGGCCTTGCCGCCACCGTTGTCACCGCGGTGGACGCTGCCTCGGTCTCGGTCTCGGTCTCGCGATCGAGCCCAATGGGTGGGCCTGGGATGGAAGGAGCGCAAACAAAACAAAGATATAAAACGTTAGGAGCGGGGCTGGTTCGCTGGATGGATTCGCTGGCCGAAGAGCCTACCAATACGTACCGAAGCCCGACAATGGATTTCGATTTCACGGTTTGCACATTTGTTTCCCTTTCTGCTCTAGATTCTCCCTGCGTTCGGTTTTGGTGTCGGTCCTGCTTTGTTCTCTCGTCGCGGCGGCGATTCCTTGGGAGAGGAACCCCGAGCCCCTCCCTGCGCATCGGATCGGACCGCTTTCTCTTTCGATTTAAGTTTGGATTTGGATTGGCCTTCTTTCCTGGAACGCTCTTTCGATGACCGTAGGTCTCCGAGCCGGAATGCCTTCCAATCCGTCCAGCGAGGGAAGAGCCCTTCGTCGCGATGGGGTTAAGGCTGTTGTCGAATTCATCGGGACCGTCCTTGTTGGTGATGTTGTTGTTTTTTTTGTTTTTGTTGTTGTTGTTATGATCTTCATAGTTGTTGTTTTCTTCTTCTTCGTCGTCGTCGTTGTAGTTGTTCGAAACGCAAAGATCAAACTCGGGCGGAGAACACAGAGGCTCTTCGAAATCGTCGCGCTGCGGATTCTGGCCGGCGCTCTCCCGCCAAGAATCGTCTGAGGAAAGGGGGACGCCCGTGGCCTCGGTTCCCGCTCGCACCCGCCGGTCGTTCCCGTTTCCCTTGCTGTTGTCGTTGTGGTGGTTGTTGTTGTTGCTGCTGCTTTTGTTGCTGCTGCTTTCGCTGCTCTCGTCGTCCCGCCGCAGCTCCTGCCGCCCCACAATGGACCGCAGGGACGCAAACCCGTCGTCGTCGTCGTCGTTGTCGTCTTCGCTGTTCCCGCCGTCGTGCCACCCGTGTTCCCGGGCGTCGCTGCCCCGGGAGCCGGCCAGCCTCCGGCCGCTGCTCTTTCGCTGCCGCTTGCGCGCCGCGAGGAGGGAGGCAGCCGCCGCCGCTTGCCCCTTTTCCGGGCTCTGGCGGTCGTGGATGCTGATTCGGGCGTGGTCCCCAAACAAAGGGGCCTCTCCGGGCTTCCCTGTGGTCCCCCCCGCGTCCGTCCCGAAGGGCACCGACCCCTGGGACAGGGCCCAGGACGGCCGCGGTTCCGAGGGCCTGGATTCCCGGTAGAAGACAACGGGGTCGTCGTCCCCGTCGTCTTCCTCCCGCTCCCTCTCGCCTCCGGAATCAACGCTCGCCTGCGAGGTGTATGGAGACATCTCGGAACGGTGGCACGGGACCGCTTGGTTTGGCCATGCTCGTTGGGTTGCCTTGCGCAATACCACTTTGTAGTTCGCTGTTGCTTTTGGTGCTGCTGCTGATGCAGTGTTGTATCCCAGGTAGTAGTTCGAAAAAAATGATGCCAACAATCTTCGATGGCACACCCCGTCGAGGAAAAACAATGTGAGAAGGTACAAGGTACAGTATCGCGTAGAACAAGTACCGGTACGTAATACGTACACGTCCACTGCTATTGACAAAATCGATCACCATCATTTTTTTAATCGAACGAATCGAAGTCAGTGCAGAACCGAGAAGTGGTGTGCCAGTAAACCTCTTCTTGCAGTTCGTACGAGCAATCTATCTRTGGTTGAGCGCCAATTTGCTCCCAAAGTAATACAAATATTAGTAGTGGCAGTTGTGACAATGTGGGCGAACGTGCATCAAAGGACGATATCCAGCCGCTGGCTACTACTAGCAGTACTACTACTATAAGAGTGCCGAGGAGTGGCTTCCTGCCATAGTTGGCGACAAAAAACTAGTACTCCACGATTCGTTTGGGTTCTGTTTGACTTTTGATAGTACTTATACAACACACTGTAATCACATAATCTAATCAACATATAGCGCGTGGTGGTGTCTTGCACAGACCACAAAGACGAGCAAAGCAATTTTCCAACCAGCAGGTCCGGGACGTTTCCGGCACGGACAATAGGTTTTGGTTTGCAGAGTCTCGTTTCGTTTCACGGATGTTCATCTCGGCTGTCTTCTCCTATCGAGCGTTGCCCAGAACCGACTCGTCTCGTCTCGTCTCGTTTCCTTTCCCTTCGTGTTTTCGTTTTCGTTTCGTTTCGTTTCGTTTCGTGAGCACCGGGATCGAATCAATCGAATAGATTCTATTCCGGTGGGGCAGCGGCTCTGTTGGTCGGCTCGCTTATGCGATCGTGGCCTCGTTGCTCTTSATCGTCGGCTTCTCCTCGTCCTTGTCGTCGCGGCCCTTCGTCGGTCTTCGGAATCGTCTCACGCCCCTCTTCTTGTTTCCGCTGCYGTTGGAACGACGCCGGTATTTTGTCGGCGGCAACAAGTCGGTGTGGCTCAGCGACTTGATCAGAAGATTCGTAATGGCGTGGTGGAGGTAGCAAGAATACACCGCCAGCGCGCCACAGATCAGCATGGACAATCCCAGGAGAAATTTTTGGCCGGTCGTGACCCTGCGCATCCCGAACACGCTACCGGCGTACAGGTTGCCATCTTCGTCGTATGTTCCGTATCGAATACCGTCCATGAAGGAACACTGTATCGCATTGGAGGACGAGGAAGTGTTCTGGACCAGCATCTCGTTGGACGTACCCGAAGTGCACCTCGCACTCTCTATGTCCAGTCGGTTGCACAGGTTCGAATTCGATTTCAAGTTCGGAGGGTAGTAGCTAATGGAACAATCTTGACACCCGGCATCTGCTCCAAACTCATCAAAGTACGTTTGGTTGATTCCGAGGTTAAAGTACTCAATGCTGACTTCGTTTCCGGCGTAGTGTGTGCAGAATTTATCRTGGAAGACTCCCATAGAGAGGGTATTGGAAGACGCATCACACCGGGGTCGGAGGAAGTAACCACCGTTCACCTGGGAGCAGTCGATGATGTCCAAGTAATTCTCTGCAGTCATGTAATTGTCATCATCGTTCTCGCATACGCTGTTTCCATAGTCGTCGTAACAGTATTGCTGGTAATCCGTGCAGTCCAGGTTTGACCAAAAGTCGTCGTCGTCGACATATTCCTCGTTGACAACAAGATTGCCGTTTTCGTCGTAGCTGTAGTAGTAGCGCATTGAGTCGCGTCGTCGGCCTTGCTTCCCGTTGAGGCAAGAGTCGCACCAGTTGCAAAGCTGCTCCTTCTTATCCATTTCGTGTCTGAGCATGATTCGAACGTAGTCTGTTAATTCTATCGCGTATTCAACAAAGTCGCTGYTGCAACCGTAGGCTCTGTTATCCGAACAATACATGGAATCACAAAGCCTCAACACAACAATATCGTTTATCACCATCGGGCTGTATTCTCCGGCCTCGATGGCATCTTGAGAAAAGCGTTGCACCGGCTGACACTTTGCGTATTTGAAAGAGTACCCGGTAAAGTCTACCATGTTGTATTCGTTGACATAATAATCGTCTTCGTTCTCATAGACTTGATCGTTGCCATCGTTTGCCAGTTTACGAGCGCCATCATCACCCCCTAGTTGGTATCCTTTGGCATTAACGTTTTTCTTATACTCTTCTAGTGGAATAGCTTTGGCACGAAGTTTGTCGTCCAGTCCTGGTTCCACAGACGATGGTTTTCTCAGTCCCATGACATCACGAGAAAAGGACCCTCCTTCGGATGGAATAAACAACCCTAGAGCGACGGTCAACGATAACGCGGAAATCTTCATGGTAATTCTCTTTTTCTGCAACTCCTCCTGTTGTGCTGCGGGGAGATTTTGTTGCTCACTTTTGCCGTCCGCAGTAGTATAGTACTAGCAGTGTGACTTTTCCTGCGAGACGGTACCGTAGATGGATGCGTTCGGGTGATTTGTGGCGATGATGTTCTTTTTCTTCAAAAAATGATCGATTTTAGCGAAGAGCCGTTTGTGAAAAAATCCGAGAATTTCTCTGCTCAATGACATTTTGTGTACGACGAGAACGTGCGGGGTGCACGTATTCGTACCGTAAAACACTGCTTTTAGCGAGGCTACATAATGCTGTTACTGGTAGGTCACGAGCTCGGTGATTCACGAATGAGATCAATCCATCGTAGTCCGTCCTTCATACGTGCGTAGTTGATGTTGGTCATAATAATTAATGTCCAATCGAGTTCTCATACAAGAGAACGAAGTCCGTTTTTGGAACAARAAGCAAGGGAGAACATCGTGCAGTACTGTGCTTCTGTAATTCCTACGAAGTGCAATCTTTTCGTTCGGTGCTTTCAAATTTGTCCGGAATGYTTCCATCCATCAAGATCTCGGTACYATAATCTCGTCGGAAGAACCCAACATTCGTCCATTTCATGTTATACAATGGAGTCTCTCCTCGACCAAGCCGATGCATTGATCCTGATCGCCGGTGAGGAGGGCCCAGAACGCCCAAACTTTGAGATACCCGAAGAGCTGGCGCACCACACAGTTCCTAATGGCGACTGGCTCGAAGTACGCGAGAATCCCAGCAAGGGCAAAGGGTGGTTTACCAAGAGAGACATTCCAGCTGGATCCGTTGTGTTGGTGGCGAAAGCCATTGCTTGTGCACTTGATTTGGAGTATATAGAAGGAGATAGTGCCGATGGCAACATTGATGACGACGAGGATGACGACAATCAGCAAATGGAACAAGAAGAAGAGGATCAGGGTAGCACTGTAAACGAGCTATTGGTTCTCGATTTACTACAACACATTTTGGACAATCCTTCGATTTGGTCGCAGCAACTAACGAACCTCTATCCACGGGAAACAGTGGACATCGAAGMATCTCCGGTCTGGATATCGAAAGACGACGACGTCTTTTCGCAATTCGAAGCGATGATCRAAAAAATCGAGACGGTTCCGGGGCTGGCGGGAAAATCCAAAGAAATCTCAAAGCGGCTTCCCCTGATTGTCCGATACAATGTCCTATCGATCGAAACCTGTCCCGAACTGCTTAGCCATCCGGGACTACACGGTCACCACTCGTTGTCGGGTGTGGGACTCTATTATTTGCCATCTTTCTTCAACCATGATTCCAGACCAAATATAGCCCGATACGCTGTAGGAGACATTATGTGGTTTGTGGCCAACCAGGATATTGGCGCTGGACAGGAGCTTTGCATAAGCTATCTAGAACAGGATGTACTCTGCGAGAAYACGTATCGACGAAATTGTATGCTAACGCTAGATTTTAAGGTACGGTATGATGTGGCGCGACTATATGCAATGCTAATTCGAAAAACTCTCTACGTATGCCTGTTACAACGACTAACTTGCCTACATTTTGTGCTCCTGTTTTCACTTTTAGGAAGAGGAGGATGCTTATCGGGCGACTATCGATGAMGAATCGCCCTGTTATCCTGTCGTAGACGTTGAGGTGCAAAATGAGCTGATGTCCATGAACCCTTTCGAGCGACTCGAAGCAATCGATCAGTTGATGCAACAGGCGGCCGGTGAAGCCTTGCCGGAAGGCGAAGACATTGAAGGAGAAGACGGCGACGACCGAATGGAAGCAAATGGGAGTGCATGGTTTGAGTGCGATGTACAAAACTTGAGAATTTTGAAAGCCATCACGTTGGAGGGCTGTGACAAATCCGAAATGGCTCTGCAACTTTGGGAAGAATGCATTGGATTCACGGAGTCCAAGATGCCTCCCAACGATGAGAATTCGATTGTGATGAGGGTGCAAGCAGCCCTTTGCTGTTTGAATTTGAACGAAGAAGCCCGTGCTGCACAACACGCAGCGATTGCTCTACAAAAACACAACTTGATGTTTGGAGGTGGAGTGAGACGGTTCCGTAGGCGTTACCGTCAAGAGTTTCGATTGAATCTTAGACCAAAATCCAGTGGCGGAGAAAACGACAAATCATTTGAAGAAATGTTATGGCCGTACGAATGAGCTAATACTCGTCCGTGAAATTTGCAGGAAGATACCATGCTAACACGGTGGTTATGTTCTCGCGAAATAAGGGAAGAATTGGCTGTAGCATGCCACCATTCACGATATCATGCAGAGAACTAGTACGCTCGATTTTCCATGAGGTTTGTGCGACTGCATCGCCATATAACAACTGTGTAGAYATTATAAGTATGGTATCAATTGTTGTTGATTACTTCTACGTACATCACATGCTTATCAGAGTGAAAGGTTCGAAGATCATCTTCGAGTATCGGTTTTGTTGTTATTCCTAGTAGTATTTTTTATTTCAATAATTTCCATAACTTACGGTACGGGCACGCAATTCGTACGTTCCTACCTTACAGTAGTGTGTACGAAGTCATAAAATCTGATCGAAGGAGGCATGGGGCGGGCAGACTTCAAAAACATTCCCCCGAATTGAATTCCGGAACCATTCCAGTACAGGTACGAGTACCCCAGTACGGTACTCGTAGTACTTCTTCGAACCAACTGCCCTTTCGAGAGACGACAAACGAGAAACAAGGAGAATACTTTTTGTGATCTGATTCACCATCGAATGAAGTCCTTCTCAACGAAACTACTCGTAATCTCCCTGCGCTGAACAARCACCTCTTTATAGTTGCCGTGTAGATAGTAATCTGAGAACAATCACGGTCTATTCTGTTTTCGAGAATCATTTAAGCGGAGGCTGCCATATCAAATCATGATGTTCCGACGAGCTGTTGCCACAGTACCTCTTGAAGGGTTTTCTACGCGAAGACTTCTCTCTTCTCCGGCTCCTTCCGTCAAAGTAACGAAGTCGACACCAAAAAGTTTCTCACGATTGGAAGCCCTTCGAGAAAAACTATCCGCCGAAGATGCTACTATCGACGATTTTTCCGGGGAAAAATCGGTTGTAGTTCGGAGGAAGGCCGCCCCCCGCAGCGCAAAAAYACTACCCAAGCCGAAGTGGTTAAAAGTTCAGCCAGCGGATTCCGATAATTATCGCAGGCTTCGACAAACAGTTCGCGACTCTGGACTTGCGACGGTCTGGTAAGTCTGGAATGCTTCGATTCGAGTTTTGGTTTGGTTTGTGTTATGCACTGCTATTAGAAACTACTCGTTATTCTTCAACTATCATCGTAMCAATCATCGTAACTCATCTAGTTTGGATGTCACGTGATTCGAAGCGAGGAAGCTCGATGTCCCAACATTGGTGAGTGCTGGGGTGGTGGTGAGGACCAAACGGCGACTGCGACAATTATGATAATGGGAGATACTTGTACCAGAGGCTGTCGGTTTTGTTCCGTCAAAACTTCCAGAAAGCCACCCCCGTTGGATCCCGAAGAACCCGAAAAGGTATCCRATGCTATATCAAAATGGGGATTAGATTACGTTGTTTTGACAAGTGTCGATCGAGATGATTTGGTGGACCAAGGTTCGAACCATTTYCGAGAAGTTATCCAAAAACTGAAACAAAAGAAACCGGATCTGTTGGTAGAGGCGTTGACACCCGACTTTCAGGGCAACCAAGAATTCATTCATGCCCTAGCAACATCGGGATTGGATGTTTACGCTCACAACATAGAAACTGTGAGACGACTAACGCCAAAGGTMCGAGACCGTCGAGCAACGTACGACCAGACTCTTGATGTACTAAGATACGCCAAGTCCGTTGGCAACTGTTTGACAAAGACATCGATAATGCTCGGTTTCGGAGAAAGCGACGAAGACATTATGGAGACATTGCAGGATCTACGCGCAGCTGATGTCGATGTTGTAACTTTCGGACAGTACTTACAGCCGACAAGGAGACACCTTCCGGTTAAAAAGTACGTAACGCCAGAAGCATTCGAAGAGTGGCAAGTCAAGGCCGAAGCACTTGGATTCAAATATGTTGCTAGTGGACCGTTGGTCCGAAGTTCCTACAAAGCTGGTAAGCAATGTTTGSAGTCATGGTTTTAGAAATAAGATATTTTGGAAAGGATTCCCATGRCATGGTTTACATGGAGAAAGGGGTTGTTTCACACAAACTCATTGATTTCTCTTCGTGATTTTAATATTATTTTTTCTTAATAGGTGAATACTTCCTGAAAAACTTACTGAAACAAAAAGAACAACAGAAGACGGCATGATCTACTCGGGGCGRTTTCCTGGAAGTCGCACACAATCTTCCGATACAAAGTAAGACGCTCGATATGAAATTAAATAAAGTTTTGTAGACTAATCATAGATCATACGCATGGCCTATTTTTAAAAAATGATTTTGATGGTGGCCTAGAAAATAGCTTCATTGATATCTAGCAAGYATCGCTATCTTTTCCTCCAAATCCCGATACACTCAAGAGTTAYAGTTCATCACCGTGTTCGGCCTTATTACTACTTGTTCCACCCAACAGCTCTCGAAGATTTTTCTTTTGATCGGGCGATAATTCGTCTGGGAAGTCTACCTCAAAAGTGATGAATAAATCACCATAACCCCTACCACTTCGTCGAGGCATACCCTTCCCAGGAATTCGCATAACTTCGTCGCACTGAACAATATCGTCGATTTTGAAGGAAAATGGTGCTCCGTCCAATTTATTCAAAGTCATTGAGAAACCAGTCTAYGTAGGAAGAAAAATATCGTGAGCGAAGAGAAAGCGAGTATCGAGACAAATAGCACAGATCKTTAACATTTCTGAAGGATAGAGCGAAAAAATACTTACTAGTGCATCTACAAGGGGAATCGTCTTCGTCATGTACAAATTGTCACCTTCACGATGATAGACCGGGTGATCCGATTGCTCCGTWACGATAAATCTCAAATCTCCAGCTTTGAACCCTGGCTTTTCGTCAGCAGTTTCTTCAAACGTAATCGCTTCTCCTGGCCGTATTCCCTTCGTAACATCGACCGTCAATTCAATCTTTTCGGCTTCAGTCTGGCTCTGACATTCGGAACAATTCCTYTGCCATTTCTTTCCCCGGGCGACACATTGGTCGTCATATTGCTGAACTTGTTGTACAAATCCAGGTGCAACCTGTACTCTCTGTACCTTTATCCCTGGACCAACACACTCATGAGCGGTTTTCATACACATTTCCCACTTGAAACACAAAACTTGTCGGATGTAAGACACATAGAAGGTAGCTCCACTATAAATCTCTTCCAATGTCAGTTCTAGTGGAATATCCACATTTGGCGTTCTTTGCTCTTGGTCACGTCGCTGGTGCCCCCTATTGAAGAATTGGTCGAAGGGATCATATCCTCCTCCGCCGCCGCCTTGTTTCTCGTGCTGTTTCAAACCCTCTTCGCCGTATCGATCATAAATCTGTCGCTTCTCCTCATCAATCAAGGCCTCATAGGCTTGGTTAATCGCCGCAAACTTATCAGAAGCACCCTCTTCCTTGTTCTTGTCAGGATGGAATTCCAATGATTTCTTACGATACGCCTTTTTGATCTCCTTGTTGGTTGCTCTGCGTGAAACACCTAGCAACTTGTAGAAGTCCTCAGCGTTCACGAGAGAAAGCAAGAAGCAGAGWTGGAGAACAGAACTCCAAGTGATATTAGCCATTGTTCTGAAGGATTTTCTTGTTGCTGCAGTTGTTTCTGGTCCTGTTGCTGCTGTTGGAAAAATTTGGATGGTAAAAGGTAAATGACGATGATAATGGCAATGACCCACTACATAGTGCAGCCCCCWTCCGTGTGACGGTACGWKGTTGCAAAAAAACAAAAACCCAAAAACCCAAACTTCGAAGAGCGCGAAAAAAAAATCGATGGGAAAATTCGTATCGATCGAGAAGAGAAAATCGAAACGTGTTAAAAAAGTCTGAGATTCAGAGGCAGTGACTCGTCTGTCCTTGGTAAGTCACAAAACGAATTKGGTTTCAATGGGGTAAAYAATCCCCCAAAGTAAARGAGTCATAATCTTTGAAGAATGAACACGATTCAATTCAATAATGCACGTTTGGAACCTCCACGTGTTTTTGTTTCAAAGTTCAGAAACTTGAAGATTTACACTGAAAAACTTCGTCGTGGAATGGAATCTATTATTGCAAACTTCAGAATTTGACTTCAGCACCCATACAATTCGAGTTGACCATAACTTGACACGAACACAGTCTTAAAATCACATCAAGCAAATCAATAATCAATCATGCTTTTCCGTTCCCTTTTCTCTCTCTTTTTGGCTCTTTCKAGCCTCTTCGCGATTACTGCTGCGAAAAAGCAGGATGAAGATGTCACGGCCCAAGCGCTCCGTGACATGCAGGCCGGTATGGCCGGCTTGAAAGAGGCCGCATCGAATCCCGCCATGTTGGCGCAACTGATGCGTGATCTCCAGGTGAGTGCGAAATTTTCGGTACTTGGTGTTTGGGAAGTGACTGTGATGTCTTGAGGGTTCCTACCGMMGTAMRAATYGGCTAGTTTTTGCCACTCACAACGTTGTTTTTAACGTTTTTCTWCTCATGATCGATGSTCGTTCATTGCAAATCATGCGGTKTACAATCGYCGTGAAAACAGGATCCTGATTTAATGGCGGAGGCACAAAAAATGATGCAGAACCCAGCATTCCAAAAGCAAATGAAAGAAATGAGCAACGACAAAGCATTCAAAGAAAGCGTTCAGAAGTCGATTGAAATGATGAAGAACCCAGCCGCAGCAGCTGAAATGGAAGCAAAGATGGAGCACATGTTGAAGCTTGGAGACGAACAATTGAAGAACAAGGCAGGAAACATGATGGAGGAAGCTATGAAGGCCATGAATAACCCTGAAGTAATGGCAGAAGTCGCGAAAATGGTCCAAGATCCTAACTTCCAAAATCAGTTGCAACAAATGGCAAAGGATCCCCAATTTAAGAGCTAYATTGATGCCATGAAGGATATGGCCAACAACCCGGAGAAGAAGAGACAGATGGAAGCACTTGCAARCAAAATGCGAGCCGAACTGTAAAGAGAAAGAGCCCAGGGTTTTGTCATTGGGTTTTGGCTGTCGAGCATCTGTTTGCGCCGTCCTTCCTGCTATAGATACAACTTGCGGGGGTCRAACACGTGAAACGACCATCTATTCTGTCTGTATATTTTAAATCTAGACTTCAGCGTCAAGTGAACTGAAAACTTTCTTTAGGTGCCTGGAAGTMATTATTCTCTACCTTCAATTGTAATACGAAGCTTTTGTCACCATTCAGGTAGTACCTACCAGTTCGTCAGACAAGAATCTTTTTTAGGTCTTAACGGCAGGAACGAGCCGGTTGATTTTCAACGAAGACATCATACAGCGCTTCATTCAGTAGCACGGTACCGTGTCAAAGACTAGCTAGAGTTGAACGGTAGGATAGATAGGTTACTGTACTACTGGTACAAGTACTTATTGTTTGTTTTAGATTCCTACGAGCATCTGGCGCGGCTGCTGATTTTCAAGAAGTCACGCGCGATATGCGATGTCATCATATCCTTATCACCAATGATCACCGTTCGATCGGAAAAACGAAAATATTGAAAAAARTGAAAAGAAAATAATTYGTGGAAATTCTGAATTTTTTACCAAACAGTRCTTTATAGGCACAACCATGGCATGTTGTCATCGTGGGGCACAACATCGCACAGCACTGCGGTCTAACAAAGGGAAGAAGTGTTGATTTTAACGTCAATAGGGAGATAGGATCACCTTGTAATCTGAGTCCCGAGTACGAGGCGTATGGACTAGTAGCATTGAAGCATGGGAAAAAAGAGTGCATCGACAGCTTCAAAATTTGTGCTTCAAAGTCTTGCAGAATGTTCGAGAACCAAGAAAGAGCTCAAGAGGGTGGTGAAGGCAATATCGCCTTCCTTGAAGAAGAAACATACCAAGCGCGCATTGAAAAATCTTCTGGCTGATGGAAAAATAGAAAAGGATGGAAAAGAATATCGTCTCATTTCAAAACCAACCTCGTCAATAGCAAACTTGACGAAAACCTCAGTTCAATCGAAACCATCATCGATTCTGCTGTCTAAAAAAGACGCTAATGCATCRGCTGTTCCAATAGGCATGCAGTTGCGAGCACCAAAAAAGAAGAAAGGGGTGAAATTTAGCGAGGAATTAGAAGCTCCTCCAGCAGGTGGTGACATTGACGATGAAATTGCAAGGCTTGAAAGGGAATTAATGAACGATGGGGATGAATCAGACGATTCCGCTAGTTCTTCCGACGAAGAAGATTCTGACAATGAAGGAGCCAACAACAAAGATAAGGCGATTCTCTCMCTTTCTGAATTTGCTAATGACCGGGTGGAAAGCCTTGCGTCAGCCTGTCTTCCAGTTCCTGGGAAGTACAGCTTGGAGAAGCGAAAAAAATCCGAGCGGAAAAAGGCTCAACCGACTGCCGAAAAAAGCGGTTTGCAGAGGGCAGTCGAAGAAGTGCTTGGAGGGTATACAGCTCGCTCATCCGAAAAAATTCCTTTCTATTGCCGCTTCTGTTCCAAACAATACGAAAACGAASACGCATTCCACGCACACAAAGCTAGTGAATTCCATAAAACAGCTGTAGCAATGGAGAGAAAAGCTACGTTTTGTAAACTTTGTCGCAAGCAGTTCACTAGTCCCATTCAAATGAAAGAGCACCTTACATCTCGTCCCCATAAACAAAGATTGCAAAATGCTCGAAGTCGACAGCAGCAGCAACGTTTTCGATAGATATTCATACGCGAATGAAGTCTTGCTTGATAATATCCAACTAATGAAATAAATTCAGATACTTAAGGATTATTTTATCTTTATTTCAAGCTGTCTGTTYGCTATCAATTACTTCCACTTAGGCAACTGTTTTCTTCATTTCGAACTTTGTTGCACCCTCCAAGTAATTCACGGGTAGTGTTTCTTTCCAATAATCAGGACCTCCGCCTAAGTATCGCATTTGGAACATGACAGATCCACGAATCCGTATTGGTCGGCCGGAAAACCTAGCTTCCAATCGAGCTCCTCTATCGATGAATCCACGATACTGTAGAACAGTTCCATCTTCCGACAACACTTGGAATGTGCACGTGTCAAGATGTGTTGGTCCTGGGTCTAGACGCCATTGCAAGCCTTGTAGAGGCGCAGCGACACCTACTTCTCCCTGTGACCAGCATAAAAACAGTTGTTACAAAACATTAGACTTTTTGCGAAGAAACAACTTCAGAAGTGTCGAAACTAGAAACACTTACATTGGGCAACAATTTCACCGTCGAAACACCAATTGTTTCTCCTCCTACTTCGTCCTTGACTTCCCAGGTGCCCTCGAGATCGTCTGGAAACGAAGTTGACTCATCTTTCGAACGAAATGCGGCCTCCCATACCGCGAAACGCCCGAGCTCTTCCGTGGCTGTACGGGGCTTTGGCATTGCCATCACGTCTGCTTCGGCACGAATATAACCGCTCCCATCTTCAACCAGCGAAGCAATCAGTCTTTCATAGGCATTGCTGTAACTCTGGCTCACAGAGGTCAAAGGGTTGAGGTCTGTCACTATCCCTTCGTTGTATGCTTCTCGAAGCAAGCTAACAAGAGCATTCAAGTACTGGACACCGGGGCGCAACTCATCTTCCATCTTCTCGGTTGGAGGGCCTGTATCTGGATACCAACGATCAACAAAAGTTTTATCATTGCCAGACAAAGTTTCGGACAAAATCAGCAGCTCTTGATCACCACCAAATAAAAGTACTCTTCTAACAATATTCGAGAAAGCATTCAATTGCCGCGTCATAGAAGGTTCGTCTGAACTAAAAATTACCYTGTTCTCAGAAACAGGTGTGGAAGGTTCCTTCGCTGATTCTTCGTCAGAAGACGCGATTTCTTCTTCGGGTTTAGGTCCTTCTTTCTTATCCTTTTTCCAAAATTTAAATCTGTTTTTACCTTTCGTTGAATTCTTACTTTCAACTTCATTTTTTGACTCTGTTGTGTCAATATCAATGTCAGTAACCGTATCCGTATCRTTTTCCTCTTCTTCGACCTCTGCCTCTGCTTCATCGATCGCTTTTGTTGGATTCGCAATTTCCTCTCGAATTCGAAGTGTGTCTATCATTGATAGACATATGTTCTGGTCCTTAAGTTTCTTGGCAATTTTGAACCTCTTCGCGTCGGGAATCTCTTCCAAAACAACTCCGACGCTCTGTAGGACAGAAAGCACTCGCTTATAACTGCGTAAGTATGTCCTTGATTGGAAAACCTRTAGTCCAAAAGAAGTTYAAATCTATTAGCGAAGGGAATTCGAGACTGATACCTTCATATCAAAGGTAATGAAGTAATTGGAATGGAACGTATAATCCGTCGATGGTTTACTTACCTCTTTTACTCTTGGTGACTCTTCACCGGTTGTCGCAAGACTCAGGATYGATTCCAGGTACGCCTCGGCGAAATTGTAATCCTGAAGACTACCATACCTCTCTCGAAATGCCACAATTTGATCTGCGACATATTCTTGGTTGGTTCTCGTTTTGGTTGGCGAAGCCGGTCCGTCCGCAGCATTGTTACTCGACGAGGAGCGCGTCAGGAGGTTCAATATCGGCCGCGGTACGGGGCACTTTGATGTGCTGACGCCACCGTCTTTTTCTCTTGCCTCATCTGCTTTCTTTTCGGCAGCGGCCGCCAATCGGAGGCTCAGGTTAAAATCCTCCTCCGATGGCCAAGACTTCGCAAGAAGAATCCGTCGCACGGCTCGATTTGAAGCRTTGTTCAGTGCCTGCGTCAGAGACACTGTCTGTGGTGATTGGTCGTYGTTGTCTCCCTTGGTAATCTTTCYACTTGCACGTGACAAAGATACATCTCCTGGTGCTATGCAATAATCGATCTCGTTCACCTTTCCTCTGTATATAATTTTGTCCCCAACCACTTGCGGTGTCTGCTTCCCTTCGGCATCTTGCTCGATATCTGCTCCGGTTACGGCGGGCAGCGATGTCGACCACCTATATCTTTGCGTGACGGGAGGGGAGAGAGAMAATCCATGCACTTCCCGATTGCGCAGACCATTGACCAGCAACCACCCCGACAGGAGGCTTCCGAAGATAAATGTTGGCATCAGTCMGGCTACGTRTGTTGTACAAAGCTTCGTCGGAATGTGTRATGAAGTTTTCCGTCTTATATATCTTCCACTCTTGTTTTGYTATTTCGTAMTCGTAAGAATTGGAACAGTCACTACTCCCACTTTAAATTGTATTTTCCGAGATACTATTCACGATCTCCGTTTGAGATACGGCATGTGGGGAGCTTTGAATATGGAGCAAGAGAAAACAGAGGAAGCTTCTGTACCGYACGGTATGTGGGGTGCAAAATTGAAGAGTGAAGAAGGATGATGTTTTTTGGCTTCAAGCCTGAACTCGAATAGGATTCGATGATTCATTCGATCCACAAATTCAAACCTACCGTATGTATTGTACGTACAGTAAATACATGCAATGGGCGTAAACAATAAACAATGGATCAAAAATAAAAAATAATCAGAATATGGTACGAGTACCGTACTTCTACGTACGTACTCGTACCTCCAGGTACTACCGGTAGGTACTCGTTCGTGGCACAGAACCTGTCTGATGGGGGAACGGTGTACCTAGTTGTTCTATCATAACAATACACCTAGTATCATCAAACTGAACTCTGCCTCACAAGCAACAAGGACGGAGTACAACATCAATTATGCAATTAYAAGAACATGTCGTCGGTCAAAGACCGAAAGAGTTCGACAAGAAAGAATAACAAACATTGATTCCCTTRAAGAGTGCAGCGGCGAGTGCCAGGCTTCTGTGGAGAAGGTTCCGTACAATATACTACTGCTGYATAAATCGTATAGATAATGGATAAAGTGCCACACTCGTCTAGCGKTGTTTGCTATCTATGCATTGTGGCAAACTCGTTGCTGAATGATCATGGCCCATATTCGAGCCATGGCGCTAAGGACTTCCTCGCCGGGGTGCGACAATTTTTTCCCGATAGACCCGATCTCTCGGTTGTCGGGGCGGGGATGCGTGATCCAGTAGCCGTCCATGATGGCTATGCGGTCGCCGTCGCCGCCGCCGCTGCCCTTGGCGGTGAGCTCGTGGTCCGCCAGCACACCAAAGGCAATCTCGTTGAAGGCGGCACTAAAATCSGAAACCAGGGGCATGTCCTGGGCATCTTCGCTCCACTCGATTCCAAAGTTCCCGTACTTTGGCCACGCAGAGGTCGTGGTCTGGAAGACTTTCAGGGTCGCGGGAAACTCGTCCATGGTTTCCAAAAAGTCCCGCTGCAGGGCTCTGTATTCGTCCACGCAGGCAAAGGAACCTGTCGTCAGGGCATTGTTGTCTAGGTACGCGAGCCGCTGGAGCTTAAACTCGGATCCACAGAGACGATGGATGTCGTGYAGGCCTGTATTGAATAGCACTGCTACTTTCGTGTCGGCCCCTGATTTTTTCTGTATGTCYCGCAGAAAGTCTTGGACACTGGCGGGCCCCAGGGCCTGGTTTTTGCGGTACCCTTCGTGGAGCGACAGGAAGTCGAACTCGAACTGGAATCCCTCTCGATCGCTGGAGGGGCCCTCCAGCAAGCCTTGCAACGTGTCTCTCTGGACGCGAAGCACGGAATCTCCGATGTAAACGATGCGTATTTTCTGTTTCTTGCCGGTGCCGCATCCCGGCTTCGAAAACAGCTTTTCTTCCGGGCGCTCGTCGCGAAACGATGCCTCGGAAACAATGCGGCAGTGGTTCGCGTGCTGGTACTCAAAGTTGATTCCCAGMGARTTGGCGTTGCTCCTGTAGCCGGGTTGGGTTACGAGCGGRCTGTTCATGGTGCTGCTCGAATACCCCTTTTCGTTGACTTTTCCCGTGACCTTCCACCTCGCTTTCTCCCGGGCACTCGCGGGCGATGTTTCGGTGAGATCGTCCAAGGCACAGTCTTTTCTRGCGGCCGATGGTTCTTCCGTTCCATCCAGAGCGACGGTAGCCAGCAAGGGAAAGCCCGGCAGCAAATACCCCTCGTAGTGTGTGTCTTGCTCGTTCGTCTCTGCCCCCTTGCCCAGGGGAAAGACCGAGATTGGTGGCGGGTTGGAAAAGGTCAGGACGGCCTCGATGGTGTAGAGTCCGGGATCGAAAAAGGCAAACCGAATGTCGTAGGAGCAACCAGCACCAGYGYTGTCTGCGTCGCTCCCGTTTCCGTCGCCCTTGCTTGYACAAGACCGGGAAACGACGGTTCCGGAAACCACCGCCGGTCCGTAGGCCCGRAGGAAAAACAAGGATGGCCCGGCATCGCCGTTTTTGCTATAATGGTATTTGAACTTGYTCTTCGGAAAACAGTGCCGGTGTCCCTCGCACTTGACTCGGATGGTGTACTCGGATCTCTTCTGGTTGCTCCCCGCCRCTGTCGCTGTGACCAGGGAGGATTCTGCGCTCACAACGGAAAAGTGTCTCGCCAGCGTCTTTTCCGGACGGGCCCACCCCGTATATCCGGGAAGACCCCCGGGAGGAATCGAGGTATTGGTGTCAAAGGACATCGGGTTGTTGTTGTTGCTGCTGTTGTTGTTGTTTTGGTTGTAAATGATGCCGTTGTTGTTGTTGTTGTTGTTGTTGTTTCGGGATGCCGCGGTCATTGGCTCGGCAATCGTGGTCAACCCTTGTTTGCAATCGCTGGTGCCGCTCGTCGCACTCGATAAGCTCGATCGAAGCTCCCCCCATAGAGCGACAACCACCACGAGGGCAACAAACCATTTCAGGAACCTCGATGATCGCGATGGCAACGACGATGGCGGCCACCGAACCGAGTCGGGCAAAAGGGTTCCCATGGTGTTCTCGGTTCTCTAAATCAGCCCCATCACTACCTCGAGAAATCCAACCGACGCACACCGTCAATTTCACTGTTCATGCAATRATTGGCCTCTGGCAACTTCGGAAGTGAGTCCTTAGTACAGCTGTGGCACTACGGAACAATAGAACTCTTCGCTGGTYGAAGGTTTGCCGATAGGATTGTTGATACCGGTAGAATAGAATGAGCTTCCCAGGCTCCTGGCAATTTTTCTGCGCAACAGCAACGATGCCTTTCTTAGAAAATTTCTGAGAAAATCTTAGAAAAAGCAAAAAAGTTACTAAAATTTTTTTAAATTGAAAATACTTCAAATGTTTAAAATTATTTAASAAATCCCCGAAAAAGCGAAAAATGTGAAAATTGCTCTCCTTTCGGCTCTCATCCTTGTCATTACAGTACTACTACCGGTGAATGCATTTGCATTCATTTCATCACGTACCAGGTAGCGAACAAGCGATCCRAACCAAGATGAGCTCCTACAAAGAACCCGAATGGGGGGTCGCGCCGTCGTCCTCCTCTTCCTCGTCCTCGCAYCCCCCCTGGACGGTGACCGAGATCAAGAACGGGATCGAGGTGGGCCGGCACGACCTGTCCGGCAGGGCCACGACGATTTTCGGCCGGGCCGTCGACATGGTGCACGTCCCGCTCCACCACGAGAGCATCAGCCGGCGGCACGCGCGGATCGCCTTCGACGCAGGGGGGAACGCCTGGCTCCGGGATCTGCGATCGGCCCACGGAACCTTTGTCAACAAGCGGAGGCTGCCGGCCGAGGCCWCGGGGAAGGAGGAGTCCAACTCGCTCCACAGRGGAGCCCGGGGAATCCGGGTGTTCGCGGGGGACGTTCTGAGGTTCGGGGCGAGCTCGAGGTATTTCTCGCTGGAGGGGGGGCCTCCGCCGGCTTCGGAGCGTTCCGAGGAGGCCAGGCTGCAGGAAAAGGCCGACAAGTGGCAGCAACAGCAACAGCAGCAGCAACAGCAACAACAGGGAGGCCAGACCGATAGAGCCTCGGTGGCATCCAGTGCAGCCACCGATGCGGGTGCCGATCCGAAGGGAAGTCCATCCGGGGACGCGGGGATCTCGTGGGGGATTTCCATGGAAGACGACACCGASGGTGGCGCTGCCAGCACGGATGCAGCCRCCCGAAGCAAATCCAATGCGTCCCTGCTGGAGGATCCCCTCAAGATCCCGGAAAAGCACCGCAGGGAACTAGACAAGATCAACGCCCTGAAGTACAAATTGTCCAACCTGGAAACCGAAGACCAGAGGATTCGAAGGAAGGGAGTGGACAACCTCACCGAGGGACAGGAAAGGCAGCTGCTGAAAAACGCCGAAAAGGAAGCGGCTCTCCGGAGGTCCATACAAGAACGGGAAGACAGCCTCTGCGACAAGCTCCGCGGTTCTAGGTCGTCGGACCGAACCAAGGCACGGAAGACTACCGATGGGGGGAACGAGGACGAGGAAGACGACTTTTTCGACAGGACCAAAACCAGCAGCGACGCTGGACCGGGAAACGATGGTGCCGGGRACGAAGCCGAATCCGAAGAGACGCTGACGGAGAAATGGAGGGCCGCCTATSGGGAGAGGAACCACCTCTCGACCGTAGCACTGCCGAACGCAAGGGCCCGCGCAGACCGCCTGAAAGAACGAGTGAGAGCTCTCGAGGCCGCCGGCGACGACGAGGAAGCCTTCTACGTCCAGAACGACCTGTCGCTGGCGCTGGAAGCGAGAAAGAAGGCCGAGTCGTCTCTGGCGAGGAACGCGACAACCATGGACGGGATCGAATCGCTCCTGCGGGTGGTCAACTCTAGGATTCGTTGCGATCGAGAGACCGGACACATCGGGGAGRGTCGGCCACGGCCGGGAACTCCGCCACCGGAATCGGGTGCGGGCGGCCGAGAACCCYCGCGARAGGAACAGCCATTGGGCTCCACTGTGATGCAGCCGCCACCGCCCGTGCTGCCGAACCCAACGCCCACGGCTGCTAACCACGAGAAACGCAGCATGCCGCCACCGCCGCCATCGATCCAGACCGGTGCACAAGCAGCGACCAAGGGTTCCGGAACCGAATCCGCAACCCCAATGGCCCCGCCCCCCAACAAGAAGAAGCGGATCCTCGGGCCCGCGGCGGGACCACCGCCGCCGCAGCCATCCCCGGCAACAAAGAAAGAACGGACGGTGGGAACCYTGGCCTTTTTGAATCGCACGACGTCCGSAGCGAAAAAATCGAACTCGGACRCCATCAGAAACGSAAAGGATGCAACCAAAACTGCGGAAGGAACGACCGTGGCGAAACCCGGAAAKCCGCAGCGACAACAACTGTCGATGGACACCCAGGTGGATGTGTGGAGAGCTCCCGACGGACAAGATGGGAGTGGAAGGACCAARCTAAACGAAAAATTTGCCGGAAGATACTAAATTTTGCGTTACCGATGCTACGATGTAACATGAAWTTCCGCTCGGGTCCCAATCACAACACTCTTTAACATTCGAGCTAAGTACTGTATTACTGTAAAAGAAATAATTTTAGTTCAACACATGAATGTACGGTACACTGTGGACATATCTATGGTGAGAAGAGCATCGTTTATTATTTCATTCTTCTCGTATTCATCTAAGCCTGCATACCGGCGCCCATTGCTTGTTGATCAAAGAGTCTTTGCTTGTCTTCTTCGSTCATTTCAATTGGGATTTCTGTGACCAAACATTCGGTGGTCAATACAAGTCCAGCAACACTGGCAGAGTTTTCGATGGCGTTGATGGTAACCTTGGCAGGATCAAGAACACCTCGCTCGTAAAGGTCGCAGTATTCCATGGAACCAGCATCCCAACCCCATTGGAACTACAGAGTGATTAGTAAAATTACAGAGGTGAGCTTGGTGAGCGACRAAAGAACGGAAACGCAAAAAGTCACGAGCCCATCACTTGGTTTMGTAGAATAAAACTTACTCCCTTCTCTTCGCCCAAAGTCTGAACCTTAGAGAGAACAACAGCACCCTCGATACCAGCGTTTTCGGCAACTTGCATGCATGGTGCTCCCATGGCATTGAGAAGAATTTGTGCTCCGGCGCGTTCGTCGTCGCTTTCCATGGCATCCAAGATTTCGTCTCCGTATTTAAGCTGGATGTGGGCCAAGCACGCACCTCCACCAGGGACGACACCGAGTTCTCGGGCACTCTGAACAGAGTTCAGGGCATCCTCGTATCGGAGCTTCTTGTCCTTGAGCTCGGTCTCGGTAGCAGCTCCRACCTTGATGCGAGCGATACCACCTCCAAGGGAAGCAATACGTTCGGTGAACTTATCTCTGTCGAAATCGGTATCGGCATTGTCCTGTTCGCGACGGAGCTGTTTGATACGAGCATYGATGTCCTCTTGGTGCTTTCCGTCCGTGACGATGGTTGTCGACTCCTTGGCCACAACAATGCGGTCGGCGGTTCCGAGCATATCAAGAGTGACCGAATCAAGAGTAATTCCGAGTTCTTCCGCTACAAAGGAGGCACCAGTCGCAATGGCGATATCCTGTGTGTATTCGCGGCGTCTGTTACCGAAACCGGGTGCCTTGATGGCAACGACGTCGAGGACTCCTCTCATCTTGTTGACAACAAGGGCAGAAAGGGCCTCGCCGGTGACATCCTCGGCGATGATAAGAAGGGGATCCTTCGATTTGACCAATTGTTCCAACAAAGGCACAACATCATTRACGTTGTCGATCTTGGCGTCGGTAACCAAAATTCTAGGGTTGATCAATTCACCAATTTGACGTTCTTGATCCTTGACAAAGTAAGGAGAAATGTATCCACGGTCAATGGTAAGACCTTCGGTGAATTCAATCTCATCGAACAAGGTCTGGGACTCCTCGACAACAGTGGATCCGGTTTCTCCGACTTTGTCTGCGGCTTGGGCGATAATACGTCCCATATCGACGGAACCAGAAGCGATGGTGGCGACATCCTTAAGATCATCGATACTACCGACGGGCTAAATATAAATAAACAATACATTCAAAAGAAATACAAAATGGCAAGCAAGTTTGTTCAAMCATTCGGACCAAATAGTAGATAAGAATTTTTTGTGAGATACGTACTGCTTTTCGCAAATGAAGAAATAAATTTTGGTTCGTTTCGTACGGTTTATCGATTTTTTCTCACCTTTGCCAATTCCTTGATCTTCTCWGTTACCAAGTTCGCGCCCTTGCGAATACCTCTGTTGAGAGCAACGGGGTTAATACCCGAAGTAACGGCACGCATACCGTTGTTTGTGATGGCTTGGGTCATGATAGTAGAGGTTGTGGTACCATCTCCAGCCTTGTTGTCACTCTTTTGGGCGACCTCCTGGATCAATTTGGCTCCGACATTCTCCTCGGGATCTYTAAGGACGATTTCACGGGCAATAGTAACACCATCGTTCACAATCTCGGGAGCTCCGTAGTTACGTTCGAGAACAACGTTTCGTCCCTTGGGTCCAAGGGTAACCTTGACGGCATCGGCAACCTGGTTGATCCCTTCTACGAGTGCCCTTCGCGATTCCTCGCGGAAGCTCACGTTCTTTGCTTCAAGGGCAGTAGAAGCAGCCTTGGGCTTCATGGCTGGCGCAAAGGCRGCCGAGGATGTGGCTAGTGCCGCAAGGACAACGTGGGTAAGTGATAGCTTCATGGCGCAATTGATCCTTTGTTWTTATTTGTTAAGGATATGTGATGACARCAGAATCGTTTCCGTGCTTCTCGAGRGCGTTCTCCAACGTTGAAAAATTGAAGAAGAACGTATGAGTAGGAAAACTCGTATGTTTGGTATGGATGTAGGTTGTTTCTGGGCCATGAAAATCTCTCCCACTTCTCTTCGTTTATCTTAGAAGAAGCCACCCATCACACACCTGTCTCATGTCACYGCTGATAACCACGAGCTCACGTAGACAAACGTCACACCATTATGTTGCGTGTACCGGTAGGAGATCAGACGAGACCAAACMATCTGTCTCATTCWTCTTCCACGTGGAATAAGAAAGTTTTGAGTCACGAATATACGATGTATTAAGCCCTAAAACCGTTAGTAAAAACAAACAAAAGAGAGAAAAAGATTGCAACGAACAAAAACCAAGTTTAAATTGCTAGAGAGAGAATAAAACATTAGAACTAGTATGAGTACCGTAAAGTACTGTGTGCTGCTAGAGGTTACCGTGGCATTCTTGAATCAATCTGTACTTACTCGTGACGGCATGATGATTGCGGTTCGCACCGAATCAACACTATCAACAACATCTCGACGATATAATCAAAGTGTTCACCACAAAAGCCGTAAGTATTAGAGTTGGCAATACAGTAGTGTAACGGAGACTAGTTACCACGGCAACGCAACAAAGATGTCTTCAAGGGGATTTTCCAAAGGCAACAAGACCGCCGAAGATGCGGGCATACCGAACGAAACMGCCCAGTACATGAAGTCCCTWCAGGATCCGGAGGTGATCGAAAGGGTGCGGTGCGTGATCAAAGACGCGCACGTCTTCAAGTTGCCCCCGCGAGCCCAGGCCGGTGGCTGGAGGGGCGCCGATTGGAGGGACGAGGTGTGGCAGGGCACCGTAAAAGTTGTGGAGCGGGGCGAGATGACACTGGTGTTGCTGGTAGATCGGAAGTCCGGAGATRTATTTGCGGTGTGTCCCATCAAGGAGGGTGCCGTAGATCGGTGCGTTGACTCGAGCCGTTACTTCGTGCTGAGAATAGAAAACGAAAACGGCCGCCACATGTTTGTCGGAATGGCCTTCAATGAAAGAAACGACGCCTTTGATTTCAATACGTCTCTGGAAGATTCCAGGCGGGAACACGAGGCGGCAAAGGAACCCCTGAAGCAGTTCTCYGCGCTGCCCTCAAAGGATTACAGAATTAAGGAGGGCGAGAAGATTCGCGTCAACATCAAAAGCATGCGTGGTGAGTGCTGTTTATAAAATAAGTCCGAAGYATGTGCATTTTGTTGAAGGCCGTGTTATACTMGTGTTTGTTTTACTGATGTGATTYTTTTGGTTTGCGGTCCTCGAAATAACAGGTGACTCATCTAAGAGCTTACGATCGAAAGGCAACGGAATTCTRAAACCATCCTCAAAGGACTCAAAACCGAAAGGTGGGGGGTTCCTCAAACCGTCGTCAAAAGATACTCCTCGACGCTCGTGAGTTGTATCCAATGGAAACGACCTACGTAGTTAAAAGAAACGATACATCGGCGCTATTACACTGCGCCGTTGTCATCAACATAGTGGTGATAAGAGGGTTCATATGTTTCATGTAAATAGAAAAAAAAGGAAATATGTCGAATTAGCTTGTAATTTATCTTTCCGAAAAGATCTCAGATACTACACAGCTCTGCTTATTTTGTTTGATTGTTGGCTAAACTTTGGGCAAAARTGTTTTCTTGCTTCCCGTTTGGATGCAGTCGGAGATGAAATCAAGCGAGGCAACTGCTATCACGATGGCATCTGTTACAATTTTGAGGATGGAACTTGCACTGAGTACTCGTAATTTACACTCCAAGAATATCGTTTAGAGCCATTCCTACTCCGCCGTCRGTACTTGTTATCGGTAATATGATATCTGCGGCATCCTTTGCATCCCTKCCGGCATTTCCGACGGCAACGCCAATGGCAGAAATCTCGAGCATTCCCACATCGTTTTCGGCGTCCCCCTGCAGCACAGCGATACATACTTTAGAGAACGACATGGAAAGAAGGAAAACAAAACCAAACACGACTGCGGTACGTACCATCGTCAAGAGCTGGGTTCCGGGATCGATTCCCAGGTGCTCGCAGAGCTTTTGGACGCCCACGGCCTTTGAGCAGCCAGCCGGGAGCAGCTCGAGCATCGTCGGAATCGCCTGGGTGACCACGGATCCGGTTTCCCTCGCCACCTTTTCCAGCTCGGGGCGRACCTCGCTGGCCAGTTTCTCGGCGTCGTTGTCCATCACCAAGATCTTGTGGACGCCGGGAGAATGACCGACGAGGCTCGGGATCTCCCTGCTGGCGGGCTCTCCCCATTTCTCGTGCAGCTCGACGACCTCGGTTTTGGTCCCGTCGGTCGTATACAGATCGTCCCCGTCGTAGGCGACCACCGCTGCCCCCGCGTCGGCCACGAGTCGTTCCGCGGCCTCGAGCGCGGGTGTGGTGAGTTTCTTCTCAAAGACGACCTCGCCGTCCCTTCCCAAGCAGTAGAGGCCCTAAGAAGAAAACAAGGATGCGTCAGGTGGTGTTGCGCGACACGCAAGGGGACGAAGGCCGTGTTCGGCGTTCCGTGTATGCGTGAATGCGTGCGTACGTACGTACCTGGTTGTAGACCCCGGGGCCTCTGGTAAAGCTCGCGAGCTCGGGCCCCATGCTGTTSGCGGCGCCCCACCGGGTTTTTCCCGTAGCCGGAAAGACCCAGTCGAGCCCGGGGCTCTCCAGCGCCGCGTTWATGGACCGAACGGTCCTCGGGTGGATCGTTTGGTCGGCCCCGATGATGGTCCCGTCGACGTCGCTGGCGACGGCGACAATGGTCAGTTCCGACAGCTTGTCTCGCACGCCCTCGGKGATCCACTCCGGTGGCGGCGGTTTGTYCGCCTCCTCCTCGATTTSCGCCACGGTCTCGCGGACCAGGTCCTGCAGGCTTTCCGTGGGTGGCGAGGCCCCGGGGTCGCTCGGACCGGCGTCCAATTCTCCTACGGTTTCGAGGATCAGGYCGTGCAGGCCGTCGGCCAGCGGGCTCGCTGGTTCCGCGAYGGGTTCGGCCCCGGCCGTTTCCTCCTCGATCTGGGCCACGGTGTTTCGGATCAGGTCCTGCAGGCCCCCGCTGGAGGGCGGCGSCGAAGCCTCCGCGTCGTCGCTCGGACCCCCGCCCGTGTCTCCCACGGTTTGGAGGACGAGCTCGTGCAGGCCGCCCGCCAGCGGATCCGCGGGTTCCTCGGTTTGCTCGAGATCGGGCTCGGGATCGCTCGGTGGGTCCGGGGTCGGCGGGGCCATTGCGGATTGGAGCTGCCGGTGCATGCTYAGGAGGCCCGCGAGCTCGTCGTCGCCGTACAGGTCGGCCTTGGTGGGCTGCGAGATCTTGGACGCCCGCTGGAACACGGCGTCCACGTCGAAATCGTCCCACTTGCTGCCACCGGAAGCCTTCTCGTCTCCGGTGGCGTCCCCRTTCTCCGAGAAAAGGCAAGACGGCGAGGAATGGGGCGGCGATGCCGCTGCCCGGGGGTTTCCGGTCGACGGTCTCGCCGAAAATCCCTCGGCGGCTTCCCGGTAGGAAGCCAGGGCGGTGAGCACGCAGCAGAGCCGAAGGCAGCGAAGCTTTGCGTGGTCCATCTTGCTCGTATCTTCGGATCCCTGGTGGCCAGTCTGTCTCTGTCCGCACGAGATTCGGTCCTTCGGTGGTGGCAGGTATCTGCGTGCCGTACGGCAGTGTCGAGCGCAGATTGGGGGTACGGTATGTGGATTCAAGTATATTCTCGCAGTCGTTCGCGATGAAAAACGTCCGACAGGTCGTCGTCTCGTAAAGATGATTCAAGGAATGACGACGATGGGATCGCGCGCCAAAAAAATAGATGCGAGCGATTGAGATTTCTCGCCCCACCCTCAACTCAAACCCGGACTCYTCCAAACTGCCTCCTTTACCTATTTCGACAAACAAGCAGAAAATACAATTGTCCGTTGACTCCCAATACTCGTAAAGCTGAATTCACGATCCATTCCACAATACAMTACATGCTCATTGACGATGGCGTCGTCTTCCACAAACGTAACCTGGCACGAGTCCACCGTGAAYCAAGAGGATCGCTGGAAACTTGCGGGCCACAAGGGGGCGGTGGTTTGGTTCACCGGTCTCAGCGGCGCCGGGAAATCCTCGGTGGCCAATGCCGTCGAACGCGCCCTGAGCCGCGATCACAAGATACGGACCTATTTGCTCGACGGGGACAACATACGGTACGTAGGTACAGGCGTATGACCCCTGGGTACAGGCAGAGTGTTGTGGCGTGGGCCCGTCGCATTCGTTCTATCTTCTGTGCTTCGTTGCGAAGAAACACGCCGCTCTGCTCCAAAAACACACACACTCACACCGCCCTGCCCGCTTCYGCCGACAAACACAGACACGGCCTCTGCCAGGACCTGGGATTCTGTGCCGCCGACCGGTGCGAAAACATCCGGCGGGTCGGCCAGATGGGCAAGCTCATGGCGGACAGCGGGATGGTGACCCTGGCGGCGCTCGTCTCGCCCTATCGGTCCGACCGGGACASCGTCCGAGCAATGGTGGAGGCCATGGGCATTCCCTTTGTCGAAATCTACGTGCGGGCCTCGGTCGAAACCTGCGAGGGCCGCGACCCGAAGGGCCTGTACAAAATGGCGAGGGAGGGGAAGATCAAGAACTTTACYGGGATCGACGACCCGTACGAGGAGCCGGTGGCTCCGGAGCTGGCYCTGGATTCCAACGGCAGGGGCATCGAGGAGCTTGCGAAAGAGACCTGCGCCTTCGTTCTGGAAAAAATCAAACTATAATACATTAGAATCTAGAATGGGATTGCATCATCTAGTGCGTGTTATCGAACATCGACACCCAGTGCGCCGTACAGAAACAACCTGCTCGCTCGGATCGAGGACCCACMAATCCCGGCTGCCAACGCCGSGGTGCGAGCTACGGTTGCAGCAGCTTCTTTTTTCGCCKGTTGTGYCGGCGCTCGATCGGACCCATGAGGGCCGAAACCACCTTGAAGATCCAGTCCCCCGACAAACGGAGCGCACCGTAGTCCACRTAGATGATCCGGAGTGCCTCGACGACGGCGGGGTTCTCGCTCCCCACGAAGCAGCCCTTGAGAATCTGGAGCCTCCGCCCMTCGCCCGACGGGATCAGCGGCTTCCATTTCGAGAACTGGACCAGCATGTCGTCGTACTTTTGGTTGTATYTCTGGCGCTTCGGGCTGAGCTCGTGCCCCTTTCGGGCTTGCGCGGCGGCATCGCCGCTCGGGTTTAGGGCCTGCTGCAGCAGGTTTCCGGTCGCCGGCTTTCCCATGAACGCCGTCGCGTTGGTTTCCTCTCCGTCGTTTSCGCTGTATCGTATTCTGTAGTTGTTCAGGCACACCAGGAGTTCCTCGAACGAAACCCCTCCTTCTTCTCTGGCTCTGTTACCGATCGACTCGCTGCCACTGTCCAAAACGTATTTCAGGGTCATGGTCCCCACGTAACTCTCCAGGTCCTCCAGTGGCAGGCGCCGGTCGCTGACAATCTCTGCGAAGGTGGACCAGCAGGCCTCGACCTCTGACCGCGGCATCCCGGTGCCTTCCATGGCCGCGTTGATCTGGGATTCCTTGTAATTCTTGGACTCGTCCACCACCTTCCGCAACTCTCGGTACACCACTCTGCCGGCAAGCCGCAGYGGTATGTAGTCCTCGTACAATATCTCAAACGCATGGTACACGGGAAATTCGTAATAGCTGGCGGTAATCCCTTCCAGGATCGCTCGCATGCGGGGATTCAAGACCGTGGACAATTCTTCCGGGGTGTACAGAATGCCTTCCAAGAGCTCGCGGAACTCCACCTGGAATTTTGTCATGTCTTCGTTTACGGGAGGTGGCATCCGGCTCTTCAAGGCCTCTCTTTCGTCTTCCAGGGTTGTGTTTCTGATGCTATAATAGTCCAGGCTGCTCATGGCACACGCTACCAATCTTCTATTCCGCAAGGCGGCGGACGCCGTCTTCCTCGCCCCATCGAATTCCACCCTCCGGTACTGAGTGAAGCCAACGGTGGTGCCCAAAGCGACAAACGCCAACGCAACGAACAGTGAAACGGATCTCATGGTTTTCAAAATGGTGCAGTTGATCTCTACGTACTACAGATAGCCTTTCGGGACCGTCTCGCCTAAGGTATCTTGCTTGGACTTGTGATGTTTCCCGGTTTATGAACTTCGTGATGGATGGAACAGAGAGGTACACCTCAACCAATTCTTCATGATGTGTCGATTTCAGAGAGCGACGAATTCGAATAGCGTTCGAAAAAAGTTTCTGACGGTATCAAATCACTGACGCAAATTTTCGTCATGAGCAACGACCCGGATATTCACTCACTTCTAGTAGTAGTACTACTACTAGTAGAATACTAGTAGAATCATGGTGTGCTTTGTGTTTAATGTTTCTTCTTGTGCACTAGTAGTAAATGTAACATGCATACCAAAGCTATTTGCTTCACGTGCATCTCAATATCCATTGGCTTGCTAAAGCAAAAAGTT